ATTTTTAAAGATTTCATATTATTTTAAGGTGAGCTTAAAGGGTGCACTACTATGAAAATCACACAGCTTCAGCGCGACATCAATAATTTCATAGATATTGTTAATAATAGTTGTTCATAATAAAATATGTATGAACTTAATACATGATCTAGATTATTTATTTAGCAAAATCTTGTCATTTTAATAAATATTACATGAAATTTATTAAAAATGGTTGATGCTCCAATTAAGCTCAGTGTGCTCTCTTTAAGCTCTTCCACATTAAACGTCTCTGTAAATACTTCATAAACAGACTTTAAGTATTAACTGATGGTTGGTACTTTAAGTTAATCTTTATAAAATGGTTAATAACTTTTCACAGCTTTATTTTTCGACAAAATCGAGACATAACTATAGTTTATGCCCAAAGATGAGAGGCATGTCGTCCATTTTAAGAAATAGCCATCAGAAACCTGTCGTATCGGTCCAGGAAAAAAGTGACTAAAGGCTGGAATACACTACACGACTTTTCAAATGTGAACAGATTTTTAAAACACTAGGCTTCATACACTTACAGACTTTGTAAATAGTCACAAAGGAAAACTGGGCGTCATACACTAAACGGCCTAGGATCTCACACAACCAGAATTCCGATCAAAACAAACTCACACAGAAACGTGTGCATTGTTGCTAGGAGACACATGACAAATGAAAACAATGCGTGTTCTAAAATAAGCTGAAAATATCAAACATCCTCCGACTGGATGGAATCATAGTCTGAAGCTGTGATCATCATACAGTCGACTCAAATCTGCAGACTGGCTCTGACCTTTGGCAACTAGCATCAACTTCTCCAGACTGTAAATCTGTGGAAAATCGGGGCAAAAATCGTGTAGTGTATTCCAGCCTTAAGAGAATATAGATACGTTGACATCCGTTTAATAAGAGGCTTCATAATGAGGCTAGTTTCTGTGTTCATCCCCGTGAATGAAATATTTTATTGGTTTGTTGCGTTATGTGATTTTTGAATATGTGTTACTTAGCTGAACGCAGACTAGCCTAGATGTTGCAGTATGCTTAAATGTCACTTCACTATGAATATATAACTGATCAAATTGAATGCCTTGTTGCTTGATTTTAGTCTTCTGTTTTTTTGATTGAT